TTGAGTGCTCACTTGAGCTCGGCATCAACCCGGCTGCGCTGGCAGCTGTTTTGGGCCAGGAGAGGCAGCGGCGGGAGCTGCCGCAGTGTGGGCAGGAGGAATGCAGAGAATGAAAGCTGGTGTTTCTGGACTCCTCACACTGCAGGTCTGGCAGCCAGGTAAGCCGGACACCACATCCATGGTAACACAAAGTAAACTCTTAACATCTGCAGGACCCTTGGGTTGAGTGACCGTTACGCCGGAGGGGCAGCTCTCACAGATGGGCATTGGTGTGACTGAAAGGGGAACTGGCTTTGGCTTTGATTGGGGGTTTCTTGCATTTTTTTGTGGTTTGCAATGTCCACAAAGAAATGCTTTGATACAAGACATTTTCTAGCAAGCAATGACAGATTGGGGTAAGTGTTTGAGGCACAGCCAGCAAATTCCATGAGTTATTGTAGAGGCCCCATTCACTACACTGACCATCTAAAGTACTTTTTATCAGCTTTTAAAACACGTTTAGCTCAGCCAGTCCAAATGAAGCATCTTATTGATGATATTGAGTAAGGTGCTGCCTATACTGGGTGTCTCACCCCATCAGGATATTTACCTGGCATGGCTGTGCCCTAACTATGCCTTCTTGCTTTGCAGCACAGGGATGCCGTCCTGCACATCCCAAGCACAAGCCCTCTACTCCAGACCCACGCTAGGGAAGTGTGGCCTTACACAGCCTGGGCTAGTGTTTCCTAACGTGATTCTGTAAGCCCGCTGCTCACTCACAGTGCATAAAATTAAAAGTGTTAAACCACAAGCTGCCAAACACTGCCATGTTTGCAATGTCAGAGTTGGAGACATACTGCAAACAAAGTGGACATGTGAATTGTACCTTTCTGCAGCGGGGCAGTAACAACGCAAAACCCTCTCTCATTTTTGACTACCTGTTTCTTGGAACTGTGCTTCTGACAAGATTTCGGGCAGGGTCTTAAAGGCTATTCCTCCCCACTGGCTGAGCAAGCTGTGTGACAGAGCAAACTAGATGGATACAAGGTACTCCAATTTGGCTTGAATACTCTCAGAGAAAGAGAAGCTTGGCAGGGATTTAGCTTACAACATGTTTGCCAAGTATCCCAGATATGGCTGCCACAGTTAGTCCTCACCAGCCAAGCAAATAACATGTAATGATGTCAGGATGAGCCCTGGTCAAACAGCCCTGGTAAGACAGAGCCTTTGAAAATCCAGGTGGAGCCTGTCTGCCTGCAAGGAAATGCCTGACCCAGAGGCCATTGCCACTTCATTCCCACTTTCCCTCCCCATCCCTGCCAACAAATTCATTGCTGGAAAGAGATGGTGCACAACACAGACCTTCTGTCACAGCCCAGAATGGCATCCTGAGGTGGTGAGCTGATGCTGAATACTATCGCGGATGGCAGCTGCTGCCGCCACGCTTCACTTTTCCAGGAGCTTTCATTTCCTGCTGCCTCTCTGGGGCACAGTTCACAATATCCGCTTGTCGTTGTGCTCTTGGACACCTCTGTGCTTGTGACAAGAGTGAGGCTGCCAGGGGGTGGGGGCAAGGGTAGGAGTCAATAATAAAATACTAAACTTGGACAAAGTAGTCATGAGCCAGATGAGGGAAGAGTTTCTTCCTGTGTCTGGTTTTGTTCAACTTCCAAGTCAAGGGTTCTGAAGAAAGAGGAAAAAAAAGTGTCATTTATTATTTATCATATCAGACAAGCATAAGGTGATACTCTAAAGCTTTTATTCAGCTGCTTATGGCTATTGCCAACATAGTAAATTCCCCTTCCAGGAGATTTCCACTTGAATAATGAATATCCATTTAAGAATGGTGCTGAAACTCAAGGCTGAATAATCTTGATTCAAACTAGGAAAGAGGATGCAGAGTGAACCCCCTTCTTAGAGTCAAGCAGGACTGACAGCGAGAGGAGCTGAACTGCAGAGGTGAATCTAGGCAACATCCCACCATGAAGCAGCAATGCCCATCTCGCTGAGGACCTCGGTTTTCTGAAGCTCACAACCCACGCTCAGACTCTGCAATCATCACTCTGATGAAACATGGTAGGGAACCTGATCCTTCAAATGACTGTTTTATTTAATTGGTGCCCCACCAGGTCCCGGAGAGCTCATGAAAAATTAACCATCCCATAAAAGCCCTGCAGGTCTTGAAAGGTGTTTTACGTGTAATGAATACTGGATTTTAGAAAACATGTTTCTGCCTCTTTTTCCAAAGAAGGTGCAACAATTTTCAAGCCTCTGTGTACGATGAGGAACCTTCAAGGATGTGCCTGGGAGTGCCAGGGACAGCACATCGCTCCCCCGTGCAGCAGGTTTCCCTTAGCACACAGGAGTTCACTGCCCATTAATAACCAGTAAGCAAACTGAACAGAGCCAAATACACGGATTTAGTGAAAATACATAGATATCTAACTTGATGCTGCATTGCCAGAGAAAGCGTAGGACTGGAAGATGAACATTTGATCAGAACTACAGGACTCATCTTGTGATCACATGGTGATAACAACTCTCAGCTTAAATTCTGCCCAGTAAATGTAATATTTAACTTATGGTAGCTCTTGATGACTCTTGTCCTTTATTCTAGGTGCTGTGTACAGGTATTTTTAGCTGACCTTTCTGAACCTTCTGGGTCTGTGGCCTAAATGGTAAGTACGTTCTCAGTTTTCAGAAATTACCCTGGAAACAATCACAGTCCGACTGCTGAGGTCTGTCAGCTGAGAGTCAGCCCTAGTATGTTTAAAATTAGGTTTGTAATAGGGACCCTATGGATTAGTGTTTCCTAGACTGCCAAAAATTTTGATGCCAAAGGAAATCGCTGCCAGTGCAAAGCACTCCCTTGTTCTAGGTATTAAAATTATTGCAGAATGACCATATACTTGAATAAACTTGCTATTTACTTCATGGAGGTCTTTTTACCACCCTGTTAGGCTATGTGCTATGAACTGCCATTTTGTCTCAGATGTTCAAAAAAAAAAGCCGTTGACCAAGCCCATGTGAGGTTACACCGGCTCAGCCCCTGGAAAAGAGCGTCCCCCCCTTCTGCCCTTGCCTTTGCCCTGGTAAAGCACCTCCTCCTCTTCGCCTCTGCAGACTGCATGTCCCCTGGGGTGGTCACCAGCATCTCCTGGCACAGCTGCGGCACTGGACACACTTAGCACCGTGCAAATAGATGGGGAAAGGGCCAACAGCTCCCTCCTGAGCGGTGACAACCGCAGTTCCAGCTCTGGACCCTACCCCCAGCAAGGGCATTTGGGAGCAAACAGGCCTTTATTTTGTTTTCCTTCATGGAAATGTGGTTGGCTTTCTTATGTGGCTCCTGCTTGCGGTGAAATCTGCCTCCCATCCTCTGCATTTAGCAAGGCCAGCAGCTGTGACAAGCTTCACGAACCGCCACCTGCGTCATTTTGTTTTGTGTATCTCCCTTGCCTTTTATCACAGAAGGATGAGCAAGGAGAAATGATTAGCTCAGGAGAGCCTGTTCTTCTCTCTAAGGTAATTTGGGAAAGGATCTGTCACATAACAACACTTCTTTATGTTGCCAGCCGGATACCTGACAACCATTCTTATCTACAAGGGCTTGAAATGTTTGTGTGAAAATGGCTCTGTCTCCCTTCCTCCTCCCTCAACTTGCAGGAAGAAAATAGGCTTTTGAGAAAAACCCAAATTTTAAAAGTGATCCAAATTTCACACAATTAAAACAGATTTCAAGTAAGTAAATGGATTTTTTTCGTTATATAGATTAAAGGAATTGGGAGTGACAGCCCCACATCTACGTAGGAAAGAGGCTCAAGCACTACATTTCTCCACGTTCATAAGGCCCACACTCTATCAACAGCTGTATCTACACTAAATGATGTTCTTCTCACGCACCAATTATGAACTGTCAGAAAAATATACACATAATCCTTCATATCAAGATCTGCTCATGCAATTTTTAAATACCACACGGTAAGCTGCGGTACTTATCCTAAGGGCTTCATGTATCGGAAGGAGAAAAAACTGTTATCTACTAGATCATCAATAGCAAAGGCCCCACAAATATAGTTCTTTTTCAGGAGATCAGATGCAAAATAAACACAGCTTTTATTAAAACCATGGTATCGGCTTTTACCAGGGCTAAACTTGTTCTGCTTCTGTCTGTGAACTGATTGATTTCCAAGCCTAGATGCCACACATTTGTATTAAGTATCTTTAGTTTAAAACAATGAAGTACCCCTCTAACCAAGGCAAACCGCACCACTGATTTCCAGCTACCGGTGCCAAACCGCACGGCAAAACCCACTTCAGAAGAGCCAAATCCACTACAGTCAAACAGGACAGAAAACAAGCCTGTGAAATGCTAGGGGGTCACCTGGAGCAAACTGTTATGGTCCCAACAGAAAGCTGTGGGAGAAATAAGGTTGCTAGCAGGAGCACTGACTCAGCTTTGCTTTCCTGATACTTGGGGGTGCCTATGTGTAAGGGGAAGGGAGAGGGAGTGAGGGAGAGTAAGGAGGGGAAAACTGTAGCAGTATAGTATAAATGCAGTGTACTCCTAATCAGTAATAGTTTCAGTTCAGTCTGTTATCTAAGCAACTGTAATTAAGGGTTGAATACTTTTCTAAGTTTTTTTCTAGCATTTAATAGAGCAGAAATTAGAGAAGACAAGCTATTTACAAAGCAGGAATCTGCAAAGGACAGACATCCCTCACAGACACTGACTCTTTAATTTCATGTGGGGGGTCTGATCTAAATCTGGCAAGCTGCACACATTTATTTGTTTGTATTTTGGTTTTTATAACGACACGGATTTCTGCTTTGCAAAAAGGCCATACCGGAACACGCAGTATATGAAATACATTTTCCTTCAGCCCTTCATGAAAAGACTAAAATAAACTAAGAAAAGTCAACGGCTTGCTAAAGAGGAAAGCGAAACATGTAAAACAACAGGGCGAGGCTTTGCACACACCTTGAGTTCACCAGGCTGCAATGCACGCTGAAAGAAGCCATCATGCCAGCTCCTGGATCACCTTGTTAGTCTCCTTGGCTTTCTTACACGTGTACAGCCATTTGATTATCCGAGCGTTGCGCTCGATCACGGAGGTGCTGCTCGGGACCTGCTCTGTGAGTTCATCCTCCAGCAGCCCCTCGTCCCCGCTGTGCCTAGTGAAGTCGCTCTCAGATGTTGCCACGCTGATGCTGCGGATCTTGAAGGAGACGTTGTCGGACATCACGGAGAAGTTCTCTCTCCCAAGATCCTCGATGACCTCCTGCTCCAGGCCACAGTACTTGAAAAACGTATCGAACTCGGAGAAGGACTTGGAGTAGCGAGAGCTGATGTCCGACTGGGAGCGATGGAGACCTCTCCTCTTCACCTCCTTGACCTCCTCAGGAGGTATACTTGGTTTTGAGGGTCTCTCATGCCCTTTTGTACATACCCCTGGGGCTTCGGTGCTCCCAGCGACGGTTTGCTCCGCTCCGCGGTCGCTCGGCTGATGGTCACCGTGTTTTGCTGAGAGAGGCTCACTGCTCTCGGTGGCTGCGGTGTACTCCATGACTCTGGGCATCTCAGGGGAAGCCAACTGCTTCTCCTTCACAGGCCCTTGGAAGATCCTCCTCACCAAGCTCCCCCGTGAGCTGTCCTGGCTTTGACCTCTCCCAAACTCGCATTTCTGCCGGTAAATCACCAGGGAATCCGGCCGCATCTGCCTCTTGGGGGTGCTGCGCCTGGCTATGGGGGGGGGGTGTTGCAGGGGGGCACGGCAGGAGTACACCGCCTTAGCCAGCTCCAGGGGCTTCGCGCCCTTCCCTCTGCCAAAGTCCCTGCTGATGTTTTTGCTCTCCACCGAACAGGTCTCGCTGCTGCTCTCCGAGGCTGAGCTAAGCACGATGACGGGTTCCTGCTTGGTGCCGATTACCTGCTGGCTTTTTACGTACTTGGCCTTATCGGCCGCCAGCCTCTCCACGGCACTCTTCCTGCCCGGGTTGCCTGCCTCCATCTGCCTGCGGAGGTACTCGGGCCCCTTGTTGAGGAGTCGCAGGGTGAGGGAGGAGTGGAGGTCGGAGATGGCGTGCATTCTCACGGCCCGGGAGAGTTCAGTTGGCATAGCAGTTTCAGGGACGCGGATCCCACTTCCAGTCCTGGGAGGGAAGGAAAAAGAAGGCAAAAAGAAAAGGCGAAAGGCAAAAAAAGGCAGGAAAAAAAAGGCAGAGCAAAGCCCGGGCGCTGGAGGCGGCAGCTGCGCCCCTCCGAGGGCCGAGCTCCCCCCCGCGCGTACTCGCCGCTGCCGTCGGGGCGCCGCGTGT